AAACTTTTGTCCCTTCCAGCTGATCGTTTATTGTCTTCTTCACAATCATTTATTGAGGGGAGGGTTTGGGCCACAGGTGTACTGACACAGAAGGTGGTCAATGGTCTGTGCTGATGAAGGAGGAGAGAATGATGTCTACATGCTGACACTGTTGGAGGAGAAAATATATATTCATGCTCCAAAGCTGGATTCTGTGGTCTACAGTCTGTAATAGTGCTGACACTATTAGTGAATTCATTGATTAAGCAAATATTGATCCATAGAAATAATAGTTTAGCTCATTTATCAAGAAAAAATAAATATTATGCTGCTTTGTCACTAGTTTCAGATCTTTTGTAGATCAAACACTACTCTGTTTAATAAAAAAAAAACTTCAGAATTACAGCAGTTCATCAAGACTTTCAAAATAAAACAAAACAACAGTGGAGTTTCTAATATTCTGCCCTTCACTGTGCAGAACGACATTAATGGTACAGAGGCTCATACTGTTTGATTACTACATGTTTATTATGAATACACAAACTGTACAACATCATTATAAATCATAAAACGCACAATGTGTTTGTGTAAGAAAAGTTGAAACAAAAACACACTAGACCTATATCTGACCATTTTGTTCTGTTTAGATTATTATAAGATCTAAACTTTGAAGACCTGAACACAATCTGTATTCACAGAGCCTTCACTCTCTGCTAAACAGCCTCATCCTGTATTAAGCATAAAGTACGCAGTTTAAACAACAAATAGCGGATAGAACAATAAGAAAAATACATCAAAAAGGAAGCCCATTGAATATGTATGTTTGTCAAAAAATAAGAAAATCCCAATACAGACAGACACTTGTAATATTCACAGAAATCATCTGCCAATCCAAAGTGCTTATTTACATAAATGTCCTGCAGTTCTTGTGTTCGCAATTTAGGTGTATTGTATGTTTTATCAGTTGTTCTCTACTGATATTGTTATACATTGAATATAATATAAAATATGCATAATATATGTCAGTTTACTCAATAATAGAAAATGGGTCCCTTAAGGGGAAACATTTGGGACCCCCTGTTCTAAGAGGATTTTAAGCTATAAAAAGTTTGTATTTGTTAGAGTAAATGACAGCTGCATGTATAGAGGTTATTGCATGGAGTGATCAACTGCAACACATATGAAGCATGTTTGCCAAAATGAGCAGCTAGAATACAAAACTATGATTTTGCTCTTTTGTACCCTGCAGTTTTAAATGTGCCATTAAATGTAATTGCCATTCACTTTACAATATCACACTGAGGTGTTCAAACCCAGCGCCCTTTTAAACACCCTGTGTGCATCCTCAGCAAGCATGTTGA